TTCAAGGTTTTGAATATAGAGGCCTCAACCTGCTTAGTCTCATCACCATTAAACATTTTATAAAGAGAAAGAGAGAGAGAACCAGTCAAAGCATTTCAAATGTAAAGTATAGTAAGGCTTTCATTTTACAATATTTCTCATTCCCTTTTCCTTCAGTAGTAGAAAGTTTTTATAGGGAACCCCCAAACGTGCCCCATTTGACAGTCTTTTAGATCATAACTGTTCTTTTTGGGGAAAAGAGAAGTTAGTTGAGCTGGTCTGGACTGCTGACAAAGACCAGTCCCATTCTCTTCAAGATCAAACAAGACAAATGGACACAAAAAATGACAGCAAACAACCACCAGGGTAGAAAATGCAGTTTCTGTCTCTGGTGCTGACTCACTTGCAACTTCCTTCCTGAAGCAACTCAGTACAGCACATGGTTTTATCAGCCAACGGCAAGACCTAGCAAACCAGTACGAGCATTGCAAGGTGTAGGGCATTGCTTTTAGCTGCCTATCTGGTAATGAGCTTACAGCAGTGTTGTAAAAGATGCAGCCTTGTCTGGCTAAGCCAGACACTTACTAGACAGAAGGGGATTTGAGAAAGTTAGAAAAGAGAAGAAATAAGGTGGAGAAAGGTCAAGGACACGTGAAGGAGGGGTAACAGCAGGAACCCAAGTCTCCCATTTCAGGTGCTATTCAGAACTTAACCCAAGTGGTAGAAGTGATGATGTTATTGGTTCCCTCTCTCTGGCCTGGATTGGTCAGGACAATGAAGGCCTAACAGTGTTGTTGTGGATCCTGGCATCCCAAGAGATGGTGGGGCAGCCATAATGATAAAGTTCTCTTCTTCCAGTCCACCAATTTCCACCATTTTGATTCCCCCCAAAGACTCCTTTTTTAAGGATCCCCTAAAGGAGGTGGTGAGTGGCACAGGTCATCTCCTCTGTATTCGGTCCACCAATTAGGTTAGTTAATTTCTGATTTCATTCATTTTGTTTATTAGTCATGATCTTAACACAGTCCTTGGGTGGTATCAGCAGATCTTTTTGTTTAACCTAATCCAGTCTTTCACTTCTGTCAACTTTTATATAACAACTGTATGTCACAGGCTGAGTTGGATATTTGTGACCTTGGACAACATAGAGAACAAACCTCTGCACAACCGATCTTCTCTGAGGTACTGACTCTCCCTGGCAGGTTCATCAGTGTTGATCAGATCAACAGAGAGATTGATGTAGCAAACAAGAACTGGATAAATTCATGGTGGTTAAGTCCATTAATGGCTATTAGCCGGGATGGGTAAGGAATGGTGTCCCTAGCCTCTGTTTGTCAGAGGATGGAGATGGATGGCAGGAGAGAGATCACGTGATCATTGCCTGTTGGGTCCACTCCCTCTGGGGCACCTGGCATTGGCCACTGTCGGTAGACAGGATACTGGGCTAGATGGACCTTTGGTCTGACCCGGTACGGCCGTTCTTATGTTCTTATAATGTCACACTTCCTGACCTGCACTCATCAAGCATGGGAAAGGTCCAGCAAAAATCTCTAGCAGCAATAGTGCCCTGCAGTGAGCTGGCGAGCAAGAGGAGGCGAGGTTTTCCCTGGAAATTAAACATTAGTAAATCATATTACCGGTCAAACTTCATTATACCATTAATAGGTTATCACTTTTGAGGTTCCAAAGACCTTTAGCTGTGGATGCTTGTTAGCAGCACTGGGGAGTTTATCTTCAACTTACCCCTCCTTTAAGTCTCAGATGTCTAGAATGCATCTCAAGCTGTTGTGCAAAATCATGTGCTGGTCTTGTACTCACAGACAGAACATCTCATTTTACAAGCGATGTGGCTCTTACTCTCAGAATCTGGCTCCAAGTAGGTATTGCCAACATTCCGCTGCAGGAAAGAATCTGACTTTTGTTTTCGTTATGGCTGCACTAAAGTGGTAGATGCTGTAGGTAAGATACTGAGCTAAAACAAATATGTGGTTTCTACAGTTGACCTTTTACAGCTGTCAGAGTAGTTTCATTTTCAGTTCATCATCTTCTGGCCAAACTGGAGAACGGAGTCCCTGAGGTGAAAGGTTAACGTGGGAACAATTGACATGAAATATCACAGCCCTAGTCTGTTTCTGATTTCAACAAAATCTCCAGTGAGCTTCCTGTCACCACAGTGGGTGTTCACCAAGATTTTTTTGCTTCCTACTGTAACAGCTTTATTTGTAACTACAGGCGAGTCGCATCTTATGCAGGGGTTAGGTTCTGAAGTCAGCTCATAAGGCGAAAATTGCATATAGTCAAACGCTCATTGAGTAGAATGGCGGGCGGAATCGCCTGCGCTACAGGTACAGTATTTAAATTGTTATTTTTCTCTGTTTTGTTTTGCCGAGCGCGTATAGTTAAAATCGCGTAAGTTAAATGCTCCTATGATGCGACTCCACTGTAATGCACAGCATTGGCAATACCAGGCTGTGGTACAAGCTGACAATAAGTAAATAAAAAGTTAAAGGGATGTTAGCAAATTTGGTTGACCCCTTGCCTCCCCCAATCTTTCAACTGTCATCTTACCTGTTTAAAAAGCCAGTTTTTGCGTGTGTTGGCCCTCAGCCATAATGGGGGGTGGGGTGGGAGGGTGAGGAGATACTGTTGTAGGAACTGACCCCGGTCTGTCTCATAGCATGGCTCACTACCACTGGGCCCTCCTAATATTTTCCATTGGGCTAATTTATCTCAATTAGGATTGCTTAGAATTGATCATTTGCAAGGTGAGTTGGGAGAACTGGCTGGAAGAATTTATTTAATTGGTAGTTTCTATCAGTGGCACTTTACAAGCTGAGGGTCTTTGGTCAAACACTCAAGCTTCGATTTACTGTTCCATTGAGAACAGGATTGTGAATATTTGGGTTGTCTTTGACACCCATTGCAATAGGATGATATTGCATTGACTCTCAATCGATGCTGGGATCTTTAGGACGCTATCTACCCCTGTACAAAGGAGGCTATTCAGATAGCCTACAGCCTTCACTGCTTCCACAATCCAAAGTCTGCTTTTACTCTGAAAAGCAGCTCTGTTTGCCAGTCATTCAAATTCAGCTAGGTTCTTTCCTTTTCGCCCTTGGTCACCAGTAATAAATAATGTTACATGGGTCTGGCTGAGGGTAAAATTTGTCCTTGCATTTGAAACTTGGTTAACAATCTGATGCATGAACCAGAATAGAACTGAGCCCTTCCATAGCCATGCTGGCCCTGTAGTTCTAATAGGAGGAAAACACTTAATTTTGACCTTAAAAGAAGTGGCTGTGGCTCTGACTGCATACAGAGCTCACATTGTCTCTTTCCCAAATAAAACTGCCATGCCACATGAGGGAATCCGCTCTGTGTAATATCTACACCAACCTAATGGCTTCTCTGTACTTCTCCCTGCCACGTCCTGCTTTCTTGATATTCTCCTTGCATAATAACACATTTAAAGGGCTGTAGGCTACAAAATGAGAACACTTTTCCCTGATTCTGTTTTGCAAAGTAGAGCAGAGGACTGCATCACAAGCTGCACCTAAACCTTTGTTGACATGCAAATGCTCTCATGGCGCTTGGTTTGCTTCAGAATTCTTACATGCAACAACGTCACAATACAGAGCTTCTGAGTAGACCAGGCATGCAGCCTCTGACATGTGTTGGGCTTCATCAGTATCAATAAATCACAGCAACCTGCTGTGGTGAGAGGGAGACTTAACTGCAATCAAAGGCATATAGGCTAAAAATGGAAGAGGCCTGCCAAAGTTATGACCTTTAAAACAGTGGCCACTGGACACTCACCCCATAATGTAGATGGGCTTGTAAATGGTGCCCTCCAGGTGTTTTGCAAACACTTTAAAATCACCAGAAGGGCTTTGATACCATGCCAGTGAGTTACGCACATGATCACTAATGATCTCTACTGCTAGGCACTTATACGTTGTTTACATTTATATTTCAGGGTGAGAGATGGCTGCCCCTAGAGGCTCAGAAAGGAATGACGCACACACCCATGCACAGTACAGCACTGAACTATTAGCTATGGGCACCATATGACATTTTTACCTCCTGAGGCATCAGTTACTGGCCACTGCTGGAGAGTCAGTCCTGGAGTGGATGGACCTGGGATCTGATCCAGTAGAGTTTAAGGTTGAGAGACAGACGATTAGCGATTTCCCTTATCAAGGTAAATTATGGTGGCTTTGCCTCATTATGTCTATTTGGAAAGTAATGCATCCACGAGCTGGCTGGGTGTCCTAAACCATGATGGGGCCTGGTCAGTCCTAGTGATCAGAGCCATGGCAGTAGGGCCTAGTGATGAGAGTCAAGGCTCAGAGCCGGAATCAGGAGTCCGGAGCCGGTTTGGAGCGAGGCCAGAGTTGGAGCAAGGCTGGAGCAGGACTAGGAACAGGATCGGAGCAAGAGCAAGGCTGGAGCAGGCTAAGGCTTGGGGAGTCTGTTGCCACTGTGAGGCAGGAGAGAGTTCCAAGCCATAGAGTGATGTTGAACAGACTGAGCTGCTGTTCCTCCTGTGAGGCTTATATACCTGCCCTGAGAGTCACCAGACCAGTTTCTGGCTTGTGGATTGGCTGGGGCCTAGCACAGCAGAGACTCCTCACTTTTCACTGGGTTCCTCTAGTTAACTGTGTCCATTTTCAATCTGATCTTACAACTGTGGTTAACTTGCTCTCCTTTCCAGTTGTATTGTCTGAAGTCTTTGCCAGGCTCATTTTCACTGACTTAGAGATGTGATTCTCTCCAGCTCCTGAGCCAGAATAAATAACACTTCAGGGAGGCGAAGTGCAAAAGCAGCTGGCTAAATAACATGCCTGTGAGAATCCAGCGTGGAAGGGGAGAGGGAGTACGTATCTACTGGTTTTAGAAGACAAGGACTATTTCTGGAGCTGCTCCCTGGCTTGAAACCTACAGCGGAAGTGCTGGGCAGAGTCCATGGGGAATAAAATGGAGTCACACACTCAGTAACAGCACAAGTCATTTTTTCCCCTTCATTTTTATTTATAAATTTTTGAATTTCACCCAGTTGTGCAACAGCAATGGGACACGCTGACAAGTGCCCTGCCAGTGGACTATTGCACCATTTGAGTGACTAAAGTCACTTTGGGTTTGGCTTTGTACCTTAATATTTACTGTAATGTGAACACAACCCAGGGCATACAATAATCGCCCAGAAAAGCACAGCCTGTTGTGTCCTATTATAAATCATCAGCCAGTACTTTACATTTATGCAGCTCTTGGCCTACAGTAAGAAGCATATCCTGTCCCCAAAGAGCTTACATTGGTTATGTACAATGCAAAGGGTTGGAAAACAGCATTTTAATCAAGGTCTTGGCGGTTTATGTGCGTTTGGTAGTTCATTATAAAGAAGCTGCTCCCTTAATGCTACTTGTCTGTTCAAAGGACCCCACGAATGGATATTTTTATTCATTTACTTTGTGTAGCCTTCCTGGTCCCTCCCCCACAATCACATTAATTATCTTGTCTGCCTTGCCCACTATCAAACTGTTTTGTTTTGTTTTCTCCAGCACAGAACACCATGCATTTTTATTGGTAGCTAGCGAGGAATGTGTGTGATGTAACTGAAGGATTCTTCACCGTAGTGCATTGCCAGTTATTTAGCCAAATCAGAGCTGCTGAAATATTCCTTCCCTGCAAACTGTGTCTTTCTCTCTCTTAGAAGCGATTAGACTGTTTTGGCTTAAGGACACAGAAAATCACAGCAACTGCTGAGAGTCTGTTTCACTCTTGGCTAGTAGGGTTTGAACTCAAAGTAAACCGATTGGTTTTGCTGTTTGGCAAGAAGCAGATCACCTTAAGGGAATGTATATCATCTTGGATGCAGATAGCCATCTGAAAAGAAAAAAAAACAGGCCTCTCCATCTAATCTTTGGCTGGCTACCCTACTTATGCACATGCTCGCTAGACCTTGGTTTCCCTCTTCTCTAAACCCATCTTCTTCATTATAACTTGCTTTAATTACAGCCCCAAAAGTACAGAAAGCTAAACATGAAGCACAGACAGAGTTAACCTGTGCAGTTGCATTTACAACACTTGAAACAACAGTTGGATACCAGTGACTCCCTTTATCCCACAAACACGGCCTTTTCCATGGCATCCTTCACTTTCATGTACTCCACGTGCGAGGGATAGTTGGTACATTCAAAACGGTTGTTATTGCGGATGTACTTAATGAACTCTGGAGCCCCAGGGAAAATGACGTTGTCAGCCAGGATAACAGAGCCCTTCCTCAGCAAGCCATGGTCCTAGAAAGAAGAGAGACTTGTGCTTGGTGAATCTGTTCATTTTAGAAGAAGCTAACGTTTGATAAGTGCTAGTGCAAATCACTTTCATATTAGTGACATTTCATGCTAAAGTGAATTCCTGTACTAACATGCCAACATGGGTTTGATCAGGAAAAAATAGCCGTGACACACTCTACAGGTTCTGCAAACAACAGCTGAAAAGCTGGATCTTTCTGCTAACGTCATCAGCAGTAAAAGAGTTAATAATGCTAATAGGAAATTGATGGCATTAGGATTCAGATTCAAATGAATGGGGACAGGTCATGCCTAAGTTACTGTTTCTGGCGGTCTCTGCAGAGTTAAGAAGACAACTCTGTAATTCACATTTGGAAGGATTTCTTCACACAGGGAGAGACTTGACCATTCCTTTTGATTTCAGATTAATATTGAAATTTTGCAGAAGCTGGTGAAACCACCAGAGAGAGGGCTGCATGGCATTCTGGGCAGCAAAGTCTCAACGGGGCCCTGGCCCACTACTAGAAAAACAGAGTTTTAGGACTGAGATTTCCTGTGCTCAGTCTTCCTCGATCCCATCCAACTTTCGGCTGCTTTATTTGGCGACAGGGCGTGGAGCACAGTTAGTGCCCAAAGAGGGCCAGGCTGGCAAGTTTACCAAGAATTCAAGGGGCATAATTAACTTGCCATATACCCGGGCATCCAATGTTTAACAAAAATAAAGCTGCAACCATATCATTTGCTTCCTTGTATCTTCCTTGACAAAGAGACATTGCTTATCTGAATACACCAGCAATTTTCAAAATAAAAGCCTGCAGCTTATCAGCTTTGTTCCCACCCTGCAGTTATGGGGAGGGTTGCATCTTTAAGACTCCCTGGATGGCTTTTACCCCGCACATCAGTATTGTAGAGGCCGCTAGCGGTTAGCTCACCATGCTCGCCTCTTGATTGTGTGCCAATCTGAAGAGAAGAGGCGGTTTGGGAGGTATGTCGATATCCTCTGGCCTGTACTTTCTAATAATCAGATCAGAAACTCGAGTGAAAAGGGCATTTCTCCAGCTGTAATTTCCAACACTAGCTGCTGTGTCATTGTGACTCCGCTGATGTTTGCCAGCTGCTCTTTATATCAAGGACCTTTTCTAGAACTGGGTGAAAGGGAAACTGCCTGGGACTCAAACCACAACCTGGGCCATCTGAAATGCTTGTCAAAAACAATGTTCAAAATGCCAGGTTGGAGAAACATTCAAAGTGTTTCCTTCAGCCGGTCCATCTAAAGTCCCTTGGTGGTGTTACACTGCAAGGATTCATGAGAATAAGCAAAACACTCTGGTTTGTAATCACATCAAACTGTTGACTAAGAAGCTGGAGCCATATGATTCTCAATCCTTTGCTTTAGCTGGTTTTTTTGCTTTGTTTTTTTAAGGTTCAGAGCTGGAACTGGTGCTGTAGCCCTCCAAAGAGCTGGGAGCTCAGTAACTGTTACAGAGCAAGTTTAAAAATGAACATTCTCGGGAGGCAAAGGAATTTCAGAACAAAAATGTACTGTCTCCCAGCTACTGATGTGTAAATTCAATGGTGGGTTTGTCCCAAAGAAACCCTCTACTTTTTAAAAAGCTGCTTGTAGGGAGGAGAGCGTGGGAGCCTAAGACAGAGTGCTTGTATTCTCCAAACAGGGGTGGTGAAACTGGTGCTATGCAAGAGAGGGAGAATGGGGCTAGTGCGAAGCAGTCAGCAGAGAGGCTCATACAAGAGCGAGTGGGTAGATATTTGTGGAGAATGTAACTGAAAAATGGCATTTCCATCCAATTAGTCATTTAGTTCTAGAGATAATCACAGGTCTAATGGTGCTATTGAGCTGTGATATTATGTGCATTTGCGCTGTTTTTATAAACACCGAGGCTGTGATTATCACTGGGTTATTTGCTGACGTTTGGAAATACCCTGGGGTCCTCAACTGCTCTCGTTTGTCATTGCCTGGCTGTTTAAAGCCAACCCATAATTTGCTATTGCTATTATAGCCTCCTAATTTTGTAATGAAGAGTCATTAAGTGTTACCATTGTTGCTGACAGAATCTGTCCCCACATCTAGCTGTGGGTGGAAAGAGGCTGAATGGCATTTCCTGGAATGAGAGCCTAGCATGGTCCTAGGAAAAGTCTTCCCTCTGCTAAGGGGGAAGACTTATTGCCAATCAGATGGTAAGGATGCCCCAGATGTTCACAAAAAGAAGATACAAACATGTGCTATCAAGATTGAATTTCATCCAGGAACACAAACCCCGACAACAGTGTTTGCCATCAGGAAATTAGTGTTGTGAAGGCTGGGACTGGAGTCTGAACTTCTCCAAAATTCAGGGCATTTGGATCAGGTGTCTTGGCTTAATCTGATAGGGAAAGACTTAAGTCATGACGTTCAGATCCAAACCTGTACTTCTCCAGTGTCTGTGGCTGGTTCTCATTGGGTATTCAGCTTCAGGCCTTTCCAGAGAGGAAGATCCTGCAAGTGGCTGAACAATCCCTGGGAAGTGCTGAGCACCCTCCGTTCCCATTGACAATAATAGGGGAGGCAAGGGCACTTCGCACTGTTGTGACTCCAGCCCCAAAGCTCCATCCCTTTTCACCACATGGCTGGTTGTTTGTTAAACATTCCTCTGGTGAGTGCCCCGCTATAGCTATAGAAAACACACCCTGCCCAAATGTGGGAAGATCTTACAGACATCTGGATATTCACTATGGGGGTTTTAGGGCTGAAATCATTCCAACTCACAAGTAGCAGGATGGTGTCTGGCAGGTATCTATCTTTCCAATGGTCGAGAAAGACGAAATCCAGTGTGTCCACTTCATGCTTTTTCTTCAGCTGTGGGATAATTGTCTCCGAAGGGCCTTCTAGAATTTTCACCTGAAAAGCAAATTCATCTCATGTTGATCTGTGCACCTTGTTTTAAGCACAATGCCCCTTGTGACGTTGTGCAGTCTATATGGTTTTATAAAAACTTGATAATAAATCAATATAATATAACTGGGATAGTTTTAGAGAAAATATGGTAATAAGTGAATATAACATAACTGGGATATGCTTCATGCAAAAGGTCTCTTGTAAGGTATCATTACAAAGCTTATAATCTACTGAGTGTGATCATCCGATTTGTATAAATGTACCACTCTTGTATCTAAAACTAGAAATATAAAATAACTCTGAGGGCCGATTGTAATTATGTAAAGTGTGGGCCATTAATGATGGTTTGGAATCTTGATGACTCCCATTGTCGGCAGATGGCTGTTTACCTGTGAGTCTCCCTTTATATGTGTGTGCTGGCAAGTGAGTAATGAAGTCTTGCAGTGACATGTGATCATGTCACCTGAACTGGAATCCATCTTTAACCTGGTGCTTTTCCAGTGAGGGGGGTGGAAACCCAGAGGGACAAAGGGTTCCCGCCTTATGCAAAAGATATATAAAGGGGTGGAAGAGAACAAAGGGGAGAGAGGAGCCATCATGAAGAATCCCCTAGCTACCACCTGAGCTGGAACAAGAGCTGTACCAGGGGAAAGAATTGTGCCCAGGCCTGGAAGGTGTCCAGTCTGAGAAAAAACTTACTGAAGCATCTCTGAGGGTGAGATTATCTGTATTCAGTTTGATTAGACATAGATTTGCGCATTTTATTTTGCTTGATGACTTACTTTGTTCTGTCTGTTACTACTTGGAACCACTTAAATCCTACTGTCTGTATTTAATAAAATCACTTTTTATTTAGTAATTTACTCAGAGTATGTATTAATACCTGGGGAAGCAAACAACTGTGCATATCTCTCTATCAGTGTTAGAGGGCGAACAATTTATGAGTTTGCCCTGCATAAGCTTTATGCAGGGTAAAACGGATTTATCTGGGTTTAGACCCCATTGGGAGTTGGGCATCTGAGTGCTAAAGACAAACACACTACTGTGAGCTGTTTTCAGGTAAACTTGCAGCTTTGGGACAAGTGATTTAGACCCTGGGTCTGTGTTGGAGCCAGACAGGAGTGTCTGGCTCAGCAAGACAGGGTGCTGGAGTCCTGAGCTGGCAGGGAAAACAGGAGCAGGGGTAGTCTTGGTACGTCAGGTGGCAGCTCCCAAGGGGGTTTCTGTGATCCAACCCGTCACACCCCTCACCCTTTAAGTTGCAGTCCGACTTCCGTGACCATGTTAATAGCCTTGGTGGATAACTTCAGCTGCTGGCTGGCTTTGGATCACATGGGCTTTTTTGATAAATTGACTCAATTATTTTTTCTCTGTGCAATTATAAGAAGTCTGTGACCTTGGCTCTGCTGGGAAGAGTGACTCTCTGCTGGTGACGAGGGAATCCCCTGCTGAAAACAGTGTGTGGCTTGGCTTGGAATTGCAGTCACATCTCAATCAAACCTTCTTGTCCAAAGCAAATAGAATGTACAGAAGAGAGGTTAAAAAGACGGGTTATTTAGTTTGGAACAGAGCCTGCCGCTGTGGATTCTTCTTCTGGCTCAGATAGCTGGAAACTTGTGAGAATAGCTCATGCAGTTTGGGGAAACTCAAACTGCAATCCCTGCTCTCACTTGAGCCCCAATCTCTTTCCAAACCCCAATCTGGATCTGAATCACACCACTCTAAGAACATAAGAATGGCCATACTGGATCAGACCAATGGTCCATCTAGCCCAGTATCCTGTCTTACAACAGTTGGCAATGCCAGGTGCTTCAGAGGGAATGAACAGAAGAGGTAATCATGAAGTGATCCACCCCGTTACCCATTCCCAGCTTCTGGCAAACAGAGGCTAGGCACACCATCCATGCCCATGTTGGCTAATAGCCACTGATGGACCTATCCTCCATAAACTTACCTAGTTCTTTTTTGAACCCTGCTGTAGTCTTGGCCATCACAACATCCTCTGGCAAAGAGTTCCACAGGTTGACTGTGTTGTGTGAAGAAATGCTTCCTTTTGTTTCTTTTAAACCTGCTGCCTATTAATTTCATTTGGTGACCCCTAGTTCTTGTGTTATGAGAAGGAGTAAATAACACTTGCTTATTCACTTTTTCCACACGAGTCATGATTTTATAGATCTCTATCATATCCCCCCCTTAGTCGTCTCTTTTCTATGCTGAAAAGTTCCAGTCTTATTAATCTCTCCTCATATGGCAGCTGTTCCATACCCCTAATCATTTTTGTTGCCCTTTTCTGAACCTTTTCCAATTCCAATAGATCTTTTCTGAGATGGGGCGATCAGATCTGCACGCAGTATTGAAGATGTGGGTGTACCATCGATTTTATATAGAGGCAACATGATACTTTGTCGTCTTATCTATCTTTGTCGTCTTTCTAATGATTCCCAACATTGTTAGCTTTGCCCCATCTTTACTAACTACTCAGGTATCTTAAACACAGTGTGTGAGAAAAGGTGTTCATGACTCTGCCCCAGTCCCTAATGGGCATTTCCCAACTTCACACATCTACCACACAGATGAACCCAATTGCCATGCTCAGTTCACTGCTAAAATAGCCTGGGATATTGCAATTGCTATGTTAGCCTAAGTATAAGAGGGCGAAATGCCAGTATTTCTTCTGACCTAACATCTACTTAGTCCCTTCATTTACCAGCCACAGAAGATCAAGATGTACCTTATCTTGCACACCAGCAAACTCAATCATCTGTCTGGCAATAGCAGCAAAGTCAGGGTTGAACTCGATGGTCATTAAGCGAGCGCTGGGATTTAACAGCCGAGCAATCCTCACAGCTGAGTAGCCACAGTACGTTCCCAGCTCCAGCAAGACTGATGGCTTTGTCTCCTCCAGTATCTTATCTAGAATCAAACCTGAGTGGGAGAGAAATGGGTTAACTCTGGACTAAATCAAACTGCAGCAAATAATAAAGTTAGTGGATGGAATCTTACAAGTTCATTTACTAAGCTGCTATAAGGAGATTCAGAATGTGATGGTTTATGATAAATTATACAGGGCTTCTTTTGCAGACTGGCTCTTACTTAAAATGAGATTCATTTTGAAGGGTGTGGAATCTTGGAAAGAAACCACTTACAATAAACAGCAGTTTCGTTTGAGGTATTTGTATCAATGGGGCCCCAGTGAAACTGAAAACAGTCTAGTGAATGTTTTCATAATTTTTTTTTGCACTAGGATGAGTTCAGGAAATAGGTTGTCTTGTATCATATTGTGAAAATTGATCATCTGACCTAGGCTTCAAATTGTAAATTTTCAAAAAAATAAGCATGTTGGGGTGTTTAAAATTTTTTTAATAAAAATCCACATTTTTGAGTGAAGATGGGCCTGTATTAAATAAAATTTAGCACAACTTTGAGTGAAAAATGCAACACTTTGCAAAAAAAAATTTTGTTGTTGCAAAATCTGTCCCCCTTCATGAAATGTAGAGCTCTTAAACTTTGAGAGAGTTCACATTTTGTAAATAATATTACACGCAGTCATCTTAATGTAAGACTTTTAAGTTAAGAAATACTCATTACAAAAGGAACAGTCGAGCCAGCTGACAAAGGCTCTATCTATTTGTATTATAAAGGCCAGAAACCATTAGCCAATTGTTACAATAAATAAATAAAATTGGAAACTATATGCAATCCTGGCAAAGAAATGGACTCGGTGACAGAAGTCTATTCCATCTTTAATCTTCTATGGTCCTAAGTAGTGCCAATACATTAGATACCTGAATCTGAATGAATATTTGAAGGTATTTAGCCTTTGGCATCATGCTGCATGAGCCACCTGAGCTGCTTAGTTACCCACTGTTAGCATTCACCTTGTCCTGCATCACTTGTGTACATACTGTACTGTTGTGATGCTGCAATTTGTAATTGAGCACTCTTGTTTAGTCTTCAAATCTTAGGCATTAAAAATAAATAATGTTGGGATTTTGCCTATCTTACTGGAGCAGTGCCCCTTGGCGCCCACCGTATTGCCAGGTTTGTCGTAGGAGTCCCTGTTCTCAGAAAGATTTTATCTTCTCTTATTTATTTGGGGGGGGAGGGGTGTCTGCCCTTCTATTATGAGTAGGGCCCTACCAAATTCACGGCCATGAAAAACGCATCACGAATTGTGAAATCTGTATAGCATTGGGTGAAAGCACACAAAAGACCGGATTTCACAGGGGAGAATAGTGTCTCTCAAATTGGGCGTCCTGACCCAAAAGGGAGTTGCAGGGGAGTTGCAAGGTTATTTTAGGGGGTAGCAGTATTGCCACCCTTACTTCTGCACTGACTTCAGAGCTGGGTGGCCGGAAATTGGCGGTTGCTGACTGAGGGCCCAGCTCTGTAGGCAGCAGCGCAGAAGTCAGGGTGGCAATACCATACCATGCCATCCTGACTTCTGTGCTGCTGCTGGCGGTGGTTCTGCCTTCAGAGCTGGGCTCCCGGCCAGCAGCTGCCGCTCTCCAGTTGCACAGCTCTGAAGGCAGCGCCACCGCCAGCAGCAGTACCGCAATAACCACCCTACAATAACCTTTGCGACCCACCCCACACACAACTCCTTTTTGGGTTAGGACCCTACAATTACAACACTGTGAAATTTCAGATTTAAATAGCTGAAATCATGAAATTTACGATTTTTAAAATCCTATGACTGTGAAATTGACCAAAATGGACGGTGAATTTGGTAGGGCCTTAGTTATGAGAACTGCCCCGCTGATTCCCATTCTTTATGCTTGCCTCATCCAAGGCCCTGTAATATGACCACCACCTTTGCAGCCAAGGAAAGGACAAGGCTGGAGGGGTCACTGCGGGGCACTGTGAAGTAATACCCCCTGCAGTTCTTAAAACCCACCTAACTGCTAAAGTGAAAATTATTTTCTGTGTGGGCTTCAAACTCCCAGCCATGGGCCACGTGCACCTCAATTTAAAAATCATACTGCAGTTTAAGTCCACTGCCAATTGCAGTGCGTGGAACAACCCTTATAGGCACTGGTCAGAGCTGACTGCAAAGACAAACTGATCGGAAATGTCTGATCCTAGTCAGTTTCTCATTTCAGATTACTGTATGTGTAAGCTGACTAGGAATGGTCGATTTGCTTCTGCATTGAGTCCCTTGCTGATGTAAGAGAAACCAACTAGGTCTGCAGAAATCCACTCAGGCTCACTGCAGTCAGCTCCCAATTCAAGAAACTTTCAGACCGTTTCTCTCTCTTTTCATGAAGTGCTGCTTTACATATGGCAAGCCTGCAGAGGAAAACATAGTAGAAAGCTAATCAGTTTCCCTCTGCAGCTTTGCAGAGACTGAAAATAGAAAGGTGGGTTGAAAAGTGCCAAAGAAAAAGGAAGAAAGGGTGACAGAGCAGACAGAAATGAGAAAATGGGGAGCCATACTAGGACAGAAAACAGGAAAGAGTATCTAGATTAAAAGGAGGGAGGAAAAAAAGAAATACAGAGAACACAGGAGGAGATGCACAAAAACAGGAAAGAGGGAGGGAGCGAACTGGGGAGAAAGGGAAAAGGGGGGTCATACGGGTGAAAAATGCATTTGACTGCAAAATAATGCAAATATTAAACTGACTTAAGTAACTAAATGCTATACTCTACCCTCAGCTCTCGTGCAAAACTTTCACTGATGTTGCTGGAAGGTCTCTTGGTATGGCTCTGCTCTCATTGATCTAGCCCAGGGCTCCTAATTAACAGAATAACTCAACCTTCTCCTGCCACCCAGCTTTTATTGGCACATTTCTGCAGGATAAGTGTATAATGCTGCAACTGTACATTTTTTGTATTAATTCAGGGACTTCAGTGGGAGTGACTGGTGCTCTCCTTTCTGTCCGTATTGTCTAAATGCCCTGCTTTTGCACTTACTGTTGCCCCTAATGGTGAAACTCTTGACCCCATATTATTTGTGTGACAGACTCTCTGTATATTATCTTAAAGCAAGTTTGTCTTCAATGCTTATTTATAGGATTATTTGTTTTACTAAATGCAATCAGTCATATGTAGCATAGCCTATTGTTCCAATTTATTGTAGATTAGGGATGGCTTGTTGTTATAAATTGGTGTAGGGCTATGTACCTTCTTGGGATCTGATCTCAGCATGGTCATTTCTGGTCAATACTTGGATAGGAAGCTTCCAAAGAAACCCAGGGCATTTCAGGGATCAGGGCTCTTGATTCAGTGGGTGGCACGGGTCCTTCTCAGCAAGTACTGAATCAATGTCCTAGCAGTGTACCGTTGAAACTGTTGTTTCAAATGAGCTGTAAGGCAAAGTCTAGACCGTTTGGGGTCACTAAAAGATCCCAAGGTGTTATCCCACCAGATACACTAGCAAAATCCCCTAGTTTGGGGAGTTAGTAACTGTGGTGTATCTGTGTGTTATTCAAAACCACAGAGGAGACTGCACTTTACTGAGTGTTGAAGCCACTCCTGTCAGGTTCTTTGGCACCTTTAAGATGAGAGGTGCTAAATAAATCCAAGATAGTGTCATTATATAATTCAATGCATCATGGGCTAAATCTTAAGATCCGCACTCAGTTTTCACTCAAGCAAATTTCTACTGAAAGCCAAGGGCATTTTGTCCAAGCAAAAACCTCAGAACATGACCAAATATTACCAGGGCTAGTGCTTTAATAATGTGGGCATAGATACTAGAAGCTACGGCTTTCACCCTAAACATACTATTCATGGAATCGCAGGAACTGTTTTCATAAACTAGGCCTAAAACATCGGGGTCTCTTTGACAACTGTGTAAAAGTACAAGTTTATTAGGGTTAACCCTAGATTACTAAGTTTAACCTCCAAATTCCCTGCACTGCCTCCAAAAACTAAAAGGGACAAATTTTATTCACTTTGCTGGTTTGGCCTTTAAGAGAAACTAAGACGTGCCAGGTGCTAGTAATGTCAGATTCTCCTATTAGTATATAGGACAGCTTCTTGTGTATATTACATCTGTATGATCTCTCTTCCCTCAAAAATACATTGCCTATAACTATTGTTTATACATGCAAAATTCCTCTTATTTTAAATACTTATGGTTCGCACATTTCAATCGAGGATCTCAAAATGCTTCATAAACACCAGTGAATTAAGGCTCATGGACTTTTGTGCTGGAAATAGGATAAGATCCATTGTAACCGAGATACAGAAAGCAAGGCAGTGATTTTTCCAAGGCTAGATAGCAAGAAACTGGCAGGAATCCAAGTCAGGGGTTTTTGTTTCTCAACTCCGCAGATGCCTGCCCTCCCTCCCTTATGAAGCAATGTGCACAGCACATCAAAAAAAATGACCCTACAGTGCACCTACTGGATTCTTCCAAAGAGATTTACACCATCTTCCATGATTGTTTGCATAACCGCTGTTGCGGCGTGCAAGGTTGCTGTGTTTTTCCAGTGACAGCAGTGACTAACAGAATAACGTATCCTGTATCATGCCAGTCTCAAACTCAAAAGTAGCCTTGAGGAGCTTATCTCTGATGTGATTACCTTTTTCATCCCCCACATTCATGGCCCACTCCTTCTGGGAGCAGTACTTATCTATGGTGTCCACTACACTCTGGGGGTCCCCTCTGACTGCATTCTGCAGCACGAAGTTTAAAATCCTCTCTTCTTTGCTCTGAGCCATGATGAAATTGGTTATTTTCTGCAGGACGATTTCATTCCACAGAATGGCTGCCCAGCCATTGTTTCTGATGAGCACTGCAAGCAGCAGCACAATGAAGAGCAGGCTGGTAACTATGGACAAAAGGATCGGATAGCTCTCCAGCATCTGGAATAAAAGACAAAACAGGTTTTTAGTTAAGGTGGCACACGAGAGAACCATCTTTCGCATAACTGTTACGATAGAATAACCCATAAGCAACACCCAGGATAGGAATATATAGAACTTACTATAATTCTACTGTACAGTGTGATTGGAAACAGCTATGTTTTATCCAGAGATAGACACTGGTCTGTGAGTTCCCTTTAGAAGCAAATTTCATAGGCCGTCAACAAGTAGCTTTATTAATTCCCCACTCCCCTCCCCCATGTAGCCAGGGCCGGCTCCAGGCACTAGCTGATCTAGCTGGTGCTTGGGATGGCAGATTGTTCGAGGCGGCATTCTGCCCAATCCTAGGGCACGGCCACTTTTTTTTTGTTCCGCTCCGGCCGCCCTGTAGGGGGCGGCAGCGCGGAGAACCAGAGCGCCCTGCAGGGCAGTCCTCTTCCTTCCCTCCCCGCCGACTGGAGCGGAGCCCTCGCGGCAGGCAGCAGGAGGTGGCGCAGTGGGAGGGGCCGCGTGGCAGCGCCCCTGCTGTAGCCCTGGCCGCCCCCTTCTCTCTCTCTCTCTCCCGCCCGCTCCCTTCCCCCC